GTGGAATCTCTATTAAAAATTGAAATTTATTTTATAGATGTTTCAAATGGACATCCCTTAAAGTAGATTTCATTTTTAATTGTTGACCGAATTGCACTAAACCAAGCCATTAAATTAAACTAGAAAAAAAAAAACGGAATTCTTTTTTCGGATAAGAGGAGGTAGGACCTGAGAAGGAGTAGTACGGACTGCGAAAGCATTGATGATATGTTTGAAGCTATAAAGCTTTGTATAACTTCCATTTTCAAGTGTGGTTCCAAGTATTTCGTCATGAATCTCTTCTATCTTCTTTGCTTCAAATGCCATAGCTTTGCTATATTAAATTGGCAAAGTCAAAGATAATTGATTATATATTACAAATTGCCCAAGTCAAATATGTTAATGAACATAGAAGATGAGAAAAATAAGAACTTATAAATGAATCAAACCAAGTAGATTACAAAAATACCATATTATAATTTTTTCTTAAAACTTCCAAAAAATATATATATTGATATGAACCTGTTGATGTTAGCAGCATCACGAAAGGCCAATGGTTCACCTTCAACCAAAACGGAGTAAATCCTTGGCAAATGATCATCATCGTTTTCGACATTTTCTTCTGCTCTGGATAATATTGCACATACAATCAACACAAATAAACATACAATTAGCCATATGAAACAATAGGCTCTTAGTTTTCTTGGATTGGTTTCCATTAAATCTTTATTTTGATTCTCCATTTGCTTTAAAGAATTTATATATTGTCGAAGGTAATGCGAGTCATGTTCTTGGACAATGCACATTACCAACGTGAGCATTTTATATTAGAAGTTATATGCGTTATAATTTGTCTCAATTATTAATTTTCTATTTGTGAAGGTGTGAATTTTGCTTATAAGGAAGCTTTTAGATTTCTTTCTTTATATGTTTAGATAAATTAGCTAAGAAAACCAGCCTGTAATTAATTGTTTGTATGTCAGGTGGGACAATTTAATCCTTTTCGTTTCTGAAAAGCACAATTTATTTTGACTCATAGAGATAAGATTTTGTATATGTACTAATTACTATATGTTGAAAAGTTTCCTTTTTCAAATTTTTTTTTAATTATGAAAAACAATTATTCTATTATTCATATTTTAAAATGACGTGGAAATAAAATAACCAACTGAATTGAGTAAGCTTGTACGAAATCTTGTAAGAGAGCCAGATAGTCAATTTTGTGATTGTCTGTTCGGAAAATATGAGAAAGCAAAAAAGACACAAAGAGTATGCGGATACTCAAAAATTCTTTCAGCTCCATGGAAAAATCGTGCCACTCTATTGAATTCACCACCATTTTTATAACCATCTTCGCAGTCCAATCCAACCCAAATGAGCTCTTCCAGGTTCGTGTAGCAAAAAAAGGACAGTAAGAATGGTTATTTGCTCCCAAGAGACG